TTCAAATGCATTTAATGAATTATATCAAATTGTTTAATTGATTCTTTTAATTTTAAACAAATTTCTTCTTCTTGATTAAAATTCATTAAATAAAATAAAATTGAATATGGAATTTGTTTATCATTTAAATTTATATTTATAATATTATCATAATAATATTCATCATTATCTTGTTGTTGTTGTTGTTGTTGATTATTATTATTATTATTATTATTAGATAATTTCAATTCATTCATATTTAAAAATGTAATTAATTTAGTATATAATTGATTATTTGTATTTTTAAATATTTTAATTAAATCATTCTTTTTATCATGAATTAATGGTGAATGAATAAATTTATATACAAATACTCTATATAAATAATTATATCCATCAATATTATTATTATTATTACTATTACCACTATTGTTATTTAAATGATCAATACAATATAACATGAAATTAGTAAATATATTCTGTTGATTATTGTGTTGATTATTAAATTTAATAAATTCTTGATACTTGTTTAAATGTAAAGTAGTATTATCAGTAATATATTTAATAATAAAATTAACTAATTGTAAACTAGATTTATCATTAAAGAAAGTCATCATAAACCAATGCATACAATCATACTTGTTAATAAACATCATTACATCACTTGATTCTTTATCTTTTGTAAAAATGTTTGTAAATAAATTAGCTTTTTTAATATAATTAGTTGAATGTATTGTACCTTCACATATAGCTAAATAATCAATACCTAATATCATATCTATTAATATATTACCTGAATTTGTTGAAATGACTAAATTAGGTAATATATCATGATAAAATGATAAATTCATTTCAGATAATAAATCAATATAATTAGAAACTAAATCAACATGATAATTATCATCATCATTCATTTGATTAGATGAATTAGATTTAGTATATTTAATAATAATTTGTGAAATCATTGGAAGTAAAACACCAATATTATTATTACCTGTTTGATCAGGATAATATTTAATATAATATTTAAACATGTTAATAATATTATCTAATAATAAAGATGAAGGTGTTACATTTGAACAATTAATAATTCTATTTAAACAAATATCTTTAATAAATAAAGATGGTTGAATTGGAAATCTCTTTCTAAATTCTAAAATTAATTCCTTTTCAAATTGTTTAATTAATGTTATATCAATTATATTATTAG